GAGAGAGAGAGAGAGAGGAGAGAGAGAGAGAGGCGGGTGAGTAGGTAGAGTAAGGATGGAGTGATCCAATAGGTAGAAGAGGATTGATAATGTATGCGTGTATAGGTTGATGTAGTAGGTATAGTATATAAGTATCCTTGATGTGAGAATAACCACAAACATTAATTTTTCTTTTTGTTTTCGGGAGGGGGGGGAGGCAAGCCCAAACGACAGAATATGAAACATCTGATCCGAAGTGCGGTACGGACGTTTTTACAGAGTTTTAAGGTTTGGGGTTTAGGTGTGTACTACAGGACGCGATGCAGCGATAGACTCTTTTTAAAGATATTTTCTGTGTATATGCATCAACGCACATGAATTTAAATTTGAACTGGACTTTGAATATCGATCCCCAGGACGTGTCATATATATATATATATATATATATATATACGTATGCATACATATATACATACATACATAGGGTTATAGGGTTTATATATATATATACATACATATATTATAGTACCTTCGTTCAGCCTGGATGGCCAAGTCTATATCCGGGAACAGGTTGCCGTATTCCCCGGGTGAGGCTAAGCTGGCTGCCATACCTGGCTTGCCCTTCGCCTCCAAACTCTCCTTCCACAGCACCACAAGATCATCCACCTGAGATGTGAGAAGGAATAGCAACAGACCGTTAGCAAGTATACAATCGATACCCATCCCTGGTATTTCAAACTACATACGTACAGACGCACATTTGAGTCGCTGTCTCAACCGTTAACACCCACACCTTCGATGGCAGATATGTTCTCGCGAAGAAGCACGCCTCGGGCAGGCGGTTGGTGACCACGAGAAGATCCAAACACTCCTCCAAACGCTGCAGAAGGAACAGACACACAAAGGTGATGTGGTTCTGCTCCTCTTCCTGGCACTTCTTGGCCAGGATGGTGAGTCCCTCGGGATTGCCAGAGGTAGTGAACAGAAGCAGCAAGCCTGAAGGTGTGATGGGATGTGATGGGTGTGTCTGGTAGTGAGGATGTGTGAACGTCGACGGTAGACACTGTGAAGTACAGGATGTGATATTCACATACACAGATGCACAGATGTACAGACTACACACAAAAACAGATACAACATACACATATATGGCTCACCTCTCGGGATTGCCAGATGTGGTGAACATATGCTGCAAGATAGAATGCTCTGAAGGTGTATGTGTGTGTCAGGTATTGGGAAGGCGTGGTGGTCGTGGATGTGTATTGCCATGTATGGGTTGTGATATTGACAAAGTTACACAGACCAACGCATGTACAGGTGTAGTAATAATACGTCTATCACTAGTGGGTACATATATATATATATATCCATACTTACATGACTATACATACTTACATACTTCCGTACATATATACATATATATATACATACATACATGAATTTATACATACATACATACATACATACATACATAATGAATAAAAGAACATGGTATATGATACATACCAGGGTAATCTTTTGCGGCCATCATGCTTTTCTGAGCCAGATCGAACTCCCAACAGCTCAGCGCTAGATCCGCCACCTGTTTCCATCGCAACGGACTGTCCACCTCCTGTGCAATCTCGTGCACAAGCTATATAAACAGAACAGGGACATATAAATAGAACAGTGTTATATAAATAGAACAGGGACATATATATAGAACAGTGTTATATAAATAGAACAGCAGTAGGTAAATACGAGACATCGTGCACACGAATTATATATAGAATCATCAGAACAGCGCGAACATCGCATGCACTTGGTATCAGCTGCATGCCGATGAATATCGGAACGTACGAAGACATCAATACAAGAGAGTCCATGGTCCAATAATTTAGGGCGGGGTCAGGTGCAATGCCCTGTACATCTACAAACAGGACAGGATAGGACGAAGATCCGATTGCGGGTGCCCTCGACTATCGTCACTATGCGACTAATCGAAATGATTCTACTAACGCAAACACATAAATGTACTACACAACGCAAACACATAACTGTGCCATTCAACGCAATCACATAACTGTGCTATATTTAGCAAGCCAGCTATGCATGCACTCTAGCTTATCGGACAATACCTTCATATTCTTGAGCGTCATAGCCAACTCGAACTTGTGGTCTATATCTGTAGACACCTGCAGTGCTTGCTCCTTGAACCCTGGACAAAGAAGGTGTTTCAAGCGATCGTGTCAATATACATACATATACATATACATACACATATACATATACACACACATATATATATATATATATATAATTCTATTTGGAAGCAGAAATATATCAACATAATAAACCCTCCGAAACAGATCCTGAGTATACTACTCATTTATTTTGAAGAGGACAGATAATAACGGCTCACGCACACAAAGACATATAGAACCTAAAACCCTGAAACAAAGATATATGCACATATAAACACCTTCAGCGTACAAGCATACTCTTACATTGCATTGGATTTTCTAAATCCTCATTCAAACACACGTCTCTGTGAATCTACTAGAGCCTAACCATTCATACGCTATACACCAACCACACATTCTTATGCTTGTAGCATACATAAAAGTACATACTATCTGACTTACTTTTAAATGATACACATACATACATACTTACATACATGTACATACCTTGCTTCTCCAAGAAGCGGGCAACACGCGTGCGTTCGCCTTCGGGGATCTGGGACATAAGCCCATCAGCCGTCGCGAAGTCTCGGCGCATGACTAATGTCTGATACTCCAACACAGTTAAAGATATCGCATAACTGACTGGTTGCAAATCCTGAGTGTGCACAAGTTGGGAGTATATGAGAGTGATTATATATATATATATATATATATGTATACGCGGTTGTGTTTAGGAAAGTATTCCGACAGGTATATAGGTCGGCCCAAGTGATACACTTTTACTATCTCACCACCCGCAAAGTAAAGACTACAATATATCAATCAACACACGCACAATATATATATATATATATATATAATCCTCATATGTATATAAACATATCAAGACTTCCTCCGTCAAAGCATACGCACCTTGTCGACCAGATACACGCGGTTGTCCTTGGGAATGTATCCCAACAGGTACATAGGACGGTCTAAGTGGGACACTGTCACTATCTCGCCACCCACGTAGTAGTTGAGGCGATTGACGCTGTTAGTAAACAGGAAGCAATCACCCACCCAGCAGGCGGTTCTGATGTCATCGGCAATCTCACCTAGTACCTATAGACAGGGGTTTGGAGTGTGCAAGGGGAGAAGTGGATATTTTGTGTATATATGTGATATGCTTACCGTATAATTATTATAAGAATACGCCCGAAGTAAAGATATAAACAGAGTACAGGGGACGACAGGAAGAAAGTAATTACTAAGACCATATGTATATGGAGAAGATGCTAAAGGTATATGTAGGTATAAAAACAATGCGGGGTAGATACATTCGTAAGAAATATGCACAGTGTAAGTATAGTGAGTAGTATGAACAGTGCGAGCTATAGAGGAGATGACTGGCCAGACAATACACGGCTTATGGATTTATACAGAAGATAGGGTGCATGATATAAATAGCGTAATGATAGGAGTGCACATGGGCAGCCTATGTGTATGTAGAAGATACGTTAAGTATATATATATATATACATATACATACATATATATATGTAATGCCAGTATCTAACCCACGCAATATATACAAACATAAAATTTAGCAACAACAATTCGGCACAAAGCCACGCGTGAAACAAGTTGCATCCTAAAAGGTTCCGGGACTACATACAAACATAAAACAAACATAAAAGCATCTCTGTATGCACACACACACACATGCACAACGTAAAGAAACATCTCTCCAGCTACGTAGTTGTATACAGCAAGTACTTTTGGCTACACATCCGCGCACAACACACGCCCTATCACCTCGACTCACACACCTCAAACGCCGTCTCGATACCCTCATCTTGAATCACCTCACCACTCTCTCTGAACTCCGCCACCGCCGACTCGCTGAAGCGCAGGATGAAGTAGCTGTCTTCTGTGCAGATAGCCACCAGATCATTCTCTGACCAGTACACAGCCTTGGGCACAATCTCTATGCGCCGTACCAGGTCTCCGGATTCCCAGTCGTAGAAGGCGAGGGAGTTGGACGAACGCACACCCAGCAGATGACCACCGAAGATACCCTCAGCGCTGAAGTCAGGCTTGATGATGGACCGTTCTTTGAAGTTCTTGTATACTTTGATCTTGGAGGAGCTCTCGCGCACGGCATATACACCTGGGCGGGTGATGAGTTTGAGTGTGTAAGTGATATACATAGACACATATATATTTTATATATATAAATATAAATATAAATACAAATATATATATATATATAGATGGATATATATATATATAGATGGATATATATATATATAGAGTGGATATATATATATAG